AGAGCGCTGGACTCGGCCTCCTCCAGCACGAAGTTGACCTGGCCGATCCGAAGACCCTTGTTGATCTGTCGCGTCTTGTAGGCCGAGATCGCCTTGGACAAGGCGATGGCCGCCACCACGCCCACCAGCAGCAGCACAACTCCTCCTGTTGCCGCCGCCACGAACGAGTTGTGGTCAGACATGTGTTGTGTGTCGTGTGTGTCGTGTGTGTCGTCGCCTGCAAGCGCAGTACCTCCAAGCGCGCCGCCGACCGCTGCGTAGGTCGCTGAGTCGTCGCCAGTGGAACCGCTGCGCTGTTCGCTCCTGGAGCAGTCCGGTCCGCCCCAGTAGGGCATGCACTCGCACACCGGCGGGTTGGTCGAGTCGCTGCACTTCCCGTTGCCCGAGCAGCCGTTCGGACAGATCGCTGTGTTGTGTGTCGTCGTCGCACGCGCGGGTGAGTTCGTGGTACACACTCATACACCACATCGTGCAGGGCTAAGGTGGTTGGTACGAGTAGCGCAGTCGGGGCCGGTCCAATTGTCTTGGCACCGGCACTCGGCCGGCTCCACGCTCGAGTCGCACTCGCCGCGCCCGTTGCAGTTCTCCTTGGCGCCGGGGCACCGCACCACCGAGCAGTCGGCCCAGGCCGCGCCATCCGTCGGCGCACTCGCACGTGCCATTCACGCACGTCCCCTGATCGCTGTTGGTACACTCGTCCGGGTAGCCCGGGCACACCGGCTCATCTGTAGATGCGGCCACCACCGCCCCGCCTGGTCAGCTCACTGCCCAGGCCGCATGGATGAGAGGTGGGGCTGGGCGTACAGGAGGAGCACGAGTTGCCGTAGAAGAAGGCGTCGCACATGCACGCCGGGCTGGCAAGATCGGTCGAACATACGCCGTGGCCTGAGCACTCTGCTTGCCCTTCGCCTGCGGCGCACAGCGCTGCATTGGCGGTGGTGTCAATGTGAGTGATGAGGCCTTCTTGGTCCGAGACACGGGTGGGGTCATACGAGTGACGCAATCGTGGACCGGCCAGCCAGCCCGACCGACACTGACACGCCGGACTGCCGCCGGCACCAGTCGTCGAGCACGAGCCATGGCCAGCGCACTCGGGGAACACGTGGAAGTCGTTCGCCGCCAGGCAGTACGCTGCGAGTGATGTGGTGTCAGCCTGCAGCAAAGGCTCGGGGAGAAGGGACAGTGGTGGGGGGGGGCTTGGGGGTACGAGTGTTGCAGTCGGCGCCGCGCCAGTCGGCTTCGCATGAGGTGCAGTACTTGGCCGTGGGGTCGCCGGAGCATCCGATGCAATGCGGCGCCGCGTCACAGTCGGTGAGGGCCACAGAGCAGTTGGGTCCCGTCCACCCGGCGGAGCACACGCAGCGCGGCGGGTCAAGGCCCACATCGACGCACTTGCCGTGACCCGAGCACGGCATGCTCCCCACCGCACACTCGGCTGCTCGCATCGCACACGCACGCGCACCACCGCACACGCGGATCATTAGCGGCATAAAAATGTGGTCAACAGTTGGTGTGGAATAGACAGACAGGTACCTTGGGAGCAGTCGGGACCAGTCCAGCCGGGGGCGCACTGGCACTTGACCGCGTCCGTCGTGCCATCGGTCACCGTCACGCATTCACCGTGGTGGCTGCAGTCCGGCGAGCTGCTCACGAGCGATAAAGGTTTGGTGTGTTGTTGGTAATGACGATGGCGACTGCGAAGACCACAGTCACCTCATATGTTGGTTGCGTGGAAGGTACCCCGGGCAATCGGTGTGCGAGCAATCAACACCGCGCCAGGCCTCAGCGCACAAGCACTGGCCCGACGTGCGGTTGCACGACCCTCGGCCCGAACACTCGTTCCCTCCTCGGCCCGGACACTTGGCGTACGCTGTGTGAAATGGCTCCAAGGTCATCACCAACCACGCGCGAGCAGCCAAAAAGTGGGTTGCAGCGAGATTGGGCACCACGTACAGACGGAGCAGTCGAGATCGGGTCCAAGCGCCCAACCCTCGCGGCATTGGCAGTGGGGTAGGCCAGAGTCGGCCGCCGTGCAAACGCCGTTGTCGGGGCTCGTGCAGTTGTTGCTACACACCGGGACTGTGCCCATGGACTGACCATCAGTCGGGCCGTTTGGTGAGCTGAGATGTGGGCTGGGAAAGGTACCGGAGCAGTCGTTGGGTTGGCCGGCAGGACCGGTCCAGTTGGCGTCGCACCGGCAGAAGGGCTGCGACCCGGTGTTGCTGATGCACAGGCCATTGTTGCTGCACGCCGGTTGGCCCGGACAATCCGCTGTTGTGATATCAAGCGCCCCTTAGAAAGCAGTTTGAAAAACATAACACAGGCAGGGCAGCAGCGACGTACGGATCTCGCAGGCGAAACCGGCCCAGCCAGCAGGGCACACGCAACGCGGTGGCGTGAAATCGCTGCTGCACGTTCCCCTGCCACTGCACTCTGCACCACAAAGAAACGGTTCATCAAATTGTAACAACTTCAATCGATGGATATAAGAATTGTTGCGAGGGTACGGCACCTGGTATGCCAGGACAGTAATCTGCCGGTGCGGTTGCATGTGAACGAATCAGAAATCAGTTTTTAACTACAAAAAAAGAGAGAGAGAGAAAGAGAAAAGGTGAAGCACGCACAATCGAGGCACTCGGTCCCGGTTCGGCCGGGAGGACAGGAGCACGTGTGGGATGCCGTGCTACCCAGCAGAAGGGCGAACGAGTGCGATGAAGTCGAGGAGCAGGACGAGCCTGTGCCCTTCGGAGCTGTGATATGGGATCAGTGGGCCACGCCCTCGCCTGAGAAGGAAGTAAAAGAGAGGAGGGGCCAAGTACGGTTGCCGGAGGTGTCTCCCGGACAAAAGGCTCGACAGCGATCGCTTTCGATCTCCGTTCCATACGAACTCCAATAATCTTGGTACAATGCGAAGGCACTCGTTCTGAATGAGGAGGCCCACACGCACACGCACACCGCACACGCACCATGACAGGGCGCACGATGAGCGCACACCAAACGCTCAGCAAAAAGAGTGAAGAGGAAAACGGGCTCAACGCACGTTCCGATGAGGCTATCGTAGAGGAAGAACGAAGGCAGAAGGCCAGTGGTCGATGTGCCGTCGTAGGTGTAGATAACGATACCGCTCCGCTGCAGGGAGGTGCAGTTCGGCGCCGGGGTGACGGTGCTATTGATCGCCAGGTCGGACTCCTGCACCACCAGCGTAGTCGCTTTGATCTGCGCCGCGATCTCCGCAGAGACTGGTCACATATACAAAATAAGATACAACTGAAGTGAGTGGTAAAAGAGAGCGCTTGCACATCAACCACAGCTGCTTGGCGCAGTAGAATTGTGTACTGTTGAAGAGGAATTCGGTTCGGGAGTGGACTGTGAGGTTGCCGTCGATGAACCAGTTGCCCCACGGGTACTGGATTGTGGCGTCGGGATAGAGCGTGGCCACGACCACCTGGCCCAGCACCAACACATCACCAGGCCAGACAGAGTCAGCTGACATGTCGCGATGATGCAGCAGAGCTTGTTTGGGGGGGGGATAAGGTACCCGTGTGCCGGGGAGGACGACGACATTGCCCTGGAACGTGGCGCTGCCCTGCACCCACCCCTTGATAGTGGTGTTGGCCGAAACCAGCGCGCTGAGGCCTTGTGACGCATCGACGGCCACTGGACTGTTGGTGAACCGCAACACGCCGAACGGGTTCACAAGCAGCGCGTCCTTTGCAGTGAGCTTCCCTGTGATGAGCGAGCCAAAGGTGTGTCAATCTTTTGCTTTGTTGATCGTAGCCACACGTGTACCTCCGCGCAGTGTGAGAGCCGCCCAGCACCCCGGACGGCCGCTTCTGGCACAGCAGTCCATGTCCGGTGAGCCCACCGTCAACGATGCGACTGTCACGCTCTGCCCTGTCTCCAGCGGCTGCTCGCCCCCCCCCCCAAAGAGCTGCTCAGTCCGGTTGTTCCTCGGGTGCAGGGGTGGTTACATACGTCGACAAAAACGCTGAAGGACTGGCCGACGAAGGTGGTGATGTGAACACGATCGCTCTCGGTGGGCACCCGCGGTGAGCCGGTGGCCGAGTCGCGCCACCGGAGCGGATCCCACCAGTGCCCATCCACCGGCTCCACCCACTCGATCGTCGCCACCTCCGCCGCAGCGCCTGCGGAGTTAAAATCAAGAGACGGGTGAGGCCAGGAACAAGATGAGAACAACAAGAGACGTGGTGAGAATCAAGGGTAAGCCTCACTGGAGGGTGGTCTCATTGGAAGGCAAGGTACCACCACATGCGAGGAGGATCGAGGCGCAGCCAACGAGCAGAACCAAGCGCCAAGGCGACGTGGTCCTCTGCATCTTCTCTCTCCACTTGAGCCTGTAGATAGATGGATTAACCTTCTGGTGAACTTGGTTTCTTCTCCGTGTGGTTGAGAAGAACACGTTTCGCGTTTATTTCTATCGATTGATTGATTGGGTAAGGTCTACCAATGGGGGCAGGGGTACAGCTCTCAAAAAATTCCAGGAATTGCTCTTGTAGAACGCGTTCTCAGTTCGCGAGACACGTCCCAGTGCTCACAATGTCGGTGCTCGAACTTTGTTGCAACTCCGAAACCAGCTCACAGTTGAGCTTTGGCTTCTTCGACGGTAAGTTCGCCGCGCAGGGAGTCGAGCATGAGCTGCCGCACCGTCTCCCGTGGATAGCCCTTGCCCAGCAGGTAGGCCAACTTCGTTACCGCCGCCTCTGCCAAGAGTACGAGCACCGACATTGTGAGCACTGGGACCTGTCGTGCGACGTGACGTGTGTCGTGTCGTGCGGGGAGTAAAGCGCTTACCGGTGGTCATGTCACAGCCGATGATGGCTCCGCTGGTGCCCAAGCTCGTCTCATAGTCGGCTCGTCGGACGCGCCCTGTGTGTTGCGTGTGTGTTGACAAGTCAAGATGTTGCATGTGTTGCGTGCGACCGTGTCGGCGTACCCTTGTAGCATTGAGAGGTGATGATAACTACGACGCCTCGCTGAATGGCCTTCTGCAGTGCGTTGATGAGATCGCGCTTACGCGACGGCGCGTTGCCTGTTGTCATACCGTGTCGTCCGCCACCGGGGTGAACGAATAGTAGGGAAATCGAATTGTAGCGATTTGGGGGGGGGTACAACTACGTACCAGAGCCGTAGCTCTTGACGATGAGACCTTCTAGTGGCGGCAGCAAGAGGTTCTCAACGGCCTGCCAGTTGTGTGTCAAGTGCGTCGTGTGCGTGTGCGTGTGCGTGTGCGTGTGCGGTAGTGCGTGTGCGGTGGTGCGTGAGCTTGGCATTGCAAAAGCAGTATGTTGAGGCCAGGAAGGCACCTTTACGTCAAAGCCGGGCACCAGATGGAGCACCGCGACCCGTGTGTTGAAGTTCTTCCACACCCGGAACCGGCCTGCACGTGGGTACCTGGTGAGACTCCCTCCCCTTTTTGTGTTGTTGTTTTGGTGACCGGTGCGCACCCTTGGGCGGGCTGGCGACGAATTGGTAGTCGATGTGGATGTCCACGCCCAGCACGCCCAGCGGCGGGTAGTTGGGCGATTCGAAGGCGGCCACACCTGACCACCGCACACGCCTCAAGCGTCAGCCATTTTTTATTTGTATTGTTATTTATTGATTTAAGTTATTTATGTATTATTATTATTATTTGTGGTTATTAATTGTGTTTGGGAGTAGTACCCCAGTTGTCGGCCTTGGTGGAGCGGTTGCCCCTCAGTATTTTGTTGTTGAAGAAGATGACGACCTCGGGCATGTCGACCTCCTTCGCGATGATCATCGACGCGATGAGGTTCCTGCGGGCGTCGGTGATGGAGTTCTCCAGCGGGATCTGGGACCCGGTGAGGACCACGATCTTGCCCAGGTTCTCCAGCATGAACGATAGCGCAGATGCCGTGTACTGATGATATGTCATTGACCGTTAGCCACACACGACACTCACGACACTCACTACACCCACGACACTCACTACACTCACGACACACAGTGCAGAGTGGAGAGACGGGGTGAACGTACAGACATGGTGTCGGTGCCATGGATGATCAGGAAGCCCTGATAGTCCCAGTAGTTCTTCTCGATCACGGTGGCGATCGAAATCCAGTCTGATGCAGGCACGACACAAAACACACGACACACGACGGATGACACCTGTCAGAGTGTGCGGTCTAGAGCCTGAAGGAGTGGTGTGGTGCGGCGTGTACCAGCGGGCTCCATGTCGGAGGAGTCAATGGGCGGGTCGAAGTTGATGATGTCGAAGGTCGGCACTCGGGGGTCCTTCGTTGCCTCAATGGCCGCCTGAATGAAATGATAAGTAAAAAATAATTTTAAAAGAAACCTCAAGAACTGTCTGCTCATTTAATTTCATAATAAATAAAATTAATAATAGTGAATGAATAAATAAATGATTAATGGAGGTGTACGAGTTGAGAGTTGAGGTAGCCTCTGACAGGTCGGAGAGATCCGGCCTCGTCCTTCTTCATCCCCAAAGTGCCGCCGGTGTAGATTATGAGGATGTCCGGCTTTCTCCGGTGATCGTCCACCACCAGCTCCGCTGCCGGCGGCTTGTGCAGACCCACGTCCGAAGGTGGCGGAAGCAGCGCAGCAGCAGCGCGTGAATCTGATGGTGCCTCCATCTCTTCCAACTTACAGAATAATAATTATCTCAAATACTTATTAATTATCATTTTAATTATCACATAAAAATAGTGCATGTAAGAAATGTTTTGGAAACGGTTTTGCTTTGTGTTGTCTGGTATGTACACTCTTCTTGGTCTGTCTAGTAGACGTCGCCGGCCTGCTCGAGGTGAAGAGGATCCTCCGCTGCATCGTCATCGTCATCGTCATCGCTCGTCATCGTCATCGTCATCGTCATCCTCTTCGTCGGTCAGGGGCGAGAGCTCGGCCTTGGGCGCGATCACGCTCAGATTGGCCAGATCGCCGGTCATGTCAAAGGGCTTGGCCGCCGCCAGCATCGGCTCGTCGTCGGCATCGATATCGTCATCAATGTCCAGCATCAAGCTGATGTCTCGCTCACCGCAGGCGGCGCCGCCGTTGGCCAGCTGGGCCGTGAGGTTGAGCGCCGTCGGCGCCGCCGCGGCCGGCCGGGTGCTCGGGGCCACCCTGCGCTTGGTCACCGTCGCCGGCGTCTTGAGCGTTGTTGAGACCGAGGCCACGCTGCCGTTCAGGTCGAGGCGGTTCTCCTTGTCGACGCGCACGCGCTGGGCGTCCTTGAGGTGGCTGGAGGCGGCGGTACGAGTTGTACGGGGCTTGACGGCCGAGCCAGAGATGGATCGCTCGATGGCGGCGGCAGAGGCAGAGGCCGAGGGCTTGGCACCACCACCGGCGAGCCTGAGGTTCTCGCGCTTGAGGGCGCCGACGGTCTTCTTGAGCTCGGTGACCTCGGTGACCAACGTGGCGTTCTTGGTCCGCAGGTCGTGCACCTCGGCCAGCACGATCTCGTGGCGCTTGATCTTCTGCTTGGGATTGGTGCTGCACAAATAAAAAGAAGAGAAGAAGAGGAAGAACAGGTTGATAGTCAATGTTAGTATCGTGATGGTGAATGGTTTAGCATGACAAGGTGTATAGGAGAAGGCCGATTAACGTACTTGCCCACGAGACGAGCGTTCTCCTCGCGGATCTTCTTGAGCTCCTTCTCGAGCTCGGCGTTGACGGCCTTGAGCTGCTTGATCTCGAACTTGGGGTTGTAGGCACCAGACTTGATCTCCTCGTCCCTCTTCTGCCGCCTCTCGGCCTTCTCGCGCTCGGCCCGTCGTCGTTCGCTTCGCTCCTCGGCCAGCTCCTGCTTGGCCTGCCGCAGCTCGCGCTCGAGAAACACGTTCTTGGCGGTGTAGGTACTGAGCGTCATCTCGGCCTCCGAGCACAGGGTGACCTCCTTGGCCTTGGCCGTCTCCTCGAGCATGCCCAGCTCGCTCTTGTAGAGCTCGATCTGCTCGAGGGCAGCCTTGAGCTCGTCGGCCAGGCGTCGGTTGGCCGACTCGAGCTTGCCCCACTCAGTCTTCATGAGCGTCAGCACCTTGAGCTCCTTCTCGCGTCGCTCCTGGGCCTCGACGCGCAGCAGCTGCTCCTGCGCGATGATGGCCTCCAGCGTCTGCTTCTGGGCCTTCATGCCGTCGACCTCGCTGCGCACGGTCTTGACGGCGTCGGTGAGGAGCTCCTCACGGGCCTTGGCCTCCTGGCTGGCCTTCTCCTTGAGCCGGAGGACCTCCTCAAGCTGCGCCTCCATCTGCCTGCGTTCCTCCTCGAGGCGGACGTTGATCGACTCGAGCCGGGTGACCTGCCGCTGCTTCTCCTCGCTCTCGACCTCGAGGCGGGCCTTCAGGCCGATGACCTGGCACAGCTCGTCTTCCTTGGTCTTCATCTCCTGCTCGAGAGCGTGCTTGGCATTCTCGATGACCCGCAGCTCGCTCTCCTTGCGCTCGAGCGCGGCGTCGTAGGCAGATCGCGTCGCCTGCAGCTCGTGCTGACTGCGAGTCCGGTCGTCGGCCGCCGCTTGTCGAAGGTGCTCCAGCTCGGTCTCCTTCCTCTCACGCTCCTCCTCGGTGGCCCTGCGCCTGGCCTGGACGTCGGCCAGCTGGGCCTCGGTCGCGTCGAGCTGCTCGGCGAGCTCCCGACCGCGGAGCTGGGCGTCGGCGCACTCCCTCTCCACTTGGGCCTTCTCGTGTTCAAGGTCGGCCTTGGCCTGGGTGAGCGCGTTGAGGTCGGCCCGCGTCTTTTGAAGGCCCGTCTCGAGAGCCGCACGGGCTTGGGTGAGCTGTTCGACCATGGTCTCAGTCTCGGTCCTTCGCTGGACCTCGGCAGCGTGCAGGCCGGTCATCTCGTCCAGCTCGGCTTCAAGCTGTCCGCGTCGCTCCCGCTCGGCATCGCGCTCGGCCGTCGTCGCGCTGTGTTCCTCGACCTTCTGGGCGATGGCGGCGGTCAGCCGGGCAGTGGTCTCCTCGAGTTCGGCGGCAGCGGCGTCCCTCTGCAGCTCGATCGCGCCCTTGAGGGCGGTCATCTCGGCGAGGTCCTTCTCCGTCTGGGCCAGAGCGTTGTCGACCTTGGCCTTCTCGAGCTGCAGCGAGGCCAGAGCGGCCTCCAACCGTTGCTTGTCGGCCTCGACCTGCTGCTTGGCCTGCACAGTCTCGAGGAGCTCCTGCACCTTGTGGTCCTTCTCGCCTTCGATGCGCTCCCGCTCGAGCTGCGCCTCTTCCAGCTTCCTCTCGAGCTCGTCCCTCTCAGCCTCGAGCCTGTCCCGCTCCAGCTGGACCTGGGCCAGCTTGGCCTGCGTCCAGTCTCGCTCGGACTCGACCAGCTGCTTGGCCTCGGTGATCGCCGCGAGCGTGGCCTCAATCTCTGCCTTCTCCGCCTCGACGAGTTGCTTCAGCGTGTTTGTCTCGGCGAGCTCGGCCTCCTTCGCGCGCTTCTCCTCATCGACCAGGCGCTTGCTCTCCGTCATCGCCTCCAGTTCGGCCTCCTTGGCTTGCTTGGCCTCGTCGAGGGCGGCGTAGCGTTCGCGCAGTTCGGCCAGCTTGGCCTTCTTGTCGGCCTTCTCGCGCTCGAGCTGCTCCTTGGCAGCGGTCATCTGTTCGAGCTCGGCCTCCTTCGCTCGCTTCTCCTCTTCGACCTTGGCCTTGCTCTCGGCCATCGCTGCGAGCTCGGCCTCCTTGGCTTGCTTGGCCTCGTCGAGGGCGGCGTAGAGCTCGCGCAGTTCGGCCAGCTTGGCCTCCTCGTCGGCCTTATCGCGCTCGAGCTGCTCCTTGGCGGCGGTCATCTGCTCCAGTTCGGCCTCCTTCGCTCGCTTCTCTTCGTCGACTTGAGACTTGCTCTCGGTCATCGCGCTCAGCTCGGCCTCCTTCGCTTGCTTGGCCTCAGCGAGAGCAGCATGAAGCTCGCGCAGTTCGGCCAGCTTGGCCTCCTCGTCGGCCTTTTCGCGCTCGAGCTGCTCCTTGGCGGCAGTCATCTGCTCCAGTTCGGCCGCCTTCGCTCGCTTCTCTTCGTCGACCTTGATCTTGCTCTCCGTCATCGCCTCGAGTTCGGCCTCCTTCGATCGCTTGGCGTCCTCGAGAGCGGCGTAGAGTCCTCGCAGTTCGACCAGCTTGGCCTTCTTATTGGCCTTCTCGCACTCGAGCTGCTCCTTGGCGGCGGTCATCTGCTCCAGTTCGGCTTCCTTCGCTCGCTTCTCCTCGTCGACCTTAGACTTGCTCTCCGCCATTGCGCTCAGCTCGGCCTCCTTCGCCTGCTTGGCCTCGTCGAGGGTGGCGTAGAGGGCGCGCAGTTTGACCAGCTTGGCCGTCTTGTTCGCCTTCTTGCGCTCGACCTCGACCTTGGCGGCAGCCAGCTGCTCCAGCTCGGTCTCCTTGGCCTTCCGCAGCTCCTCCTCGCCGGTCCACCGCTGAGCCATCGCGCTCAGCTCCGACTCAGTCCTCGTCCTCATCGCGTTCTCGTCTTCGTATGCGCGCGTCAGCTGGCCGATGCGGTCTGCGCTGGTCTCGCGCTCGTAGGCGATCAGCGACTTGTGTTCCTCAATCTCCCTGGCCCGCTCGATCAAGGTGCTGGTCAGCTGAGCCCGCTCGTCGGTGACCTTGGCCAGCTCGCCCTCGGTGGCCTCCTTGGCGCTGCTGAGCGATCGGTTGAGTTCGGTGGCGCCCTCGAGTTCGGCTTCGATCTCACGCTTGGCTGCTTCGAGCTTAGCCTTCGCCTCCTGCAGCTGAGCGAGCTCTGTCTCGGCCCGGTGCAGCTCCTCGGCAACGCTCTCCTTCTGCGCGGTCATCGCTTCGAGCTCCTTCTCGGTGGCCTCCTTCTGCTTGCCGAGGGCCTCGTGGGCACAGAGCACGTCGGCGAGCTCGCCCTCCTTCTGAGCCTTGGCCTCCTCCAGGCGCTCCTTCTCTTGCGTCATCGCGTCGAGGGCGCGTAGCTTCTCGTTCTTCTCCTCGTCGAGAAGCGCATTCTGTCGGAGGGCAGTGGCCAGCTCGGCCTTGAGCTGCTCCTTCTCGGCCTCGAGCGTCTGCTTCGCCGACGACAGCTGCTCGAGCTCCTGCTCCAGGGCAGCCTGCTCCTTCTTGAGGGCGCTCTTGGCCAGAATCGTCCGGGCCAGCTCGGCCTCCTTCTCCTTCCTCTGCTCGATGAGCCGCTCGTTCTCCTCGGCCATCTCCCTCAGCCGCAACTCCTTGCCCGACTTCTGCTCGTTCAGCGCCCGGTATGTCTCATGGGCCTCGGCGAGCTCGTCCTCCTTGGCCTTCTTGGCCTGCTCGACGCGCTCCTTCTCGAGCTGAAGCTGGCGCAGCTCTTCCTCTTTCTCCTCCTTCTCCTGGAAGAGCCGAAGCTTGGCGGCGGTCATGGTCGCCAGCTCGGCCTCGCTTCTCTGCTTCTCGGCAGCGACGGCGGCCTGGCTGGCCTCGGCCTGCTCGACGGCGGCCCGGAGCTGCTTCTTGAGCGACTCGAGCTCGATCTTGGCCTCCTCGAGGTTCGCTTCGGCTTGCTCGGCCTTCTTCTGCGAGAGCTGCTGGAGGCGAGTGGTCTTGTCGATGATCTGCTTGAGGTCGCTGATGCTCGTGTTACGCGCCTCGAGCTGCCTGACGTCGTCTGCCCGCTCCTTCTCGAGCTGAACCATCTTGTTGGTCAGGTCCCGATTCTCCTTCTCCAGCGACGCCTTCTCCGAGGCCAACGCGACCTTGTCTTTCGTCAGCTGAGCAGCCTTGTCCTCGTGCGTCTTGAGCAAAGCGTTGAGCTTCTCGAGCGTCTTTGTGTGGGCATCAAGCTTCTCCTTCTCGGCCAGTTTCTATGGATGATGAGGTGAGATTTGTGCAATTGAATGCGGCAAATCGAATAAGCTAGCTTAATCGCCCACGTACCTCAGCGCGCAGCCGAGCGAGCTGGGCCTTCTGCTCGGTGACCTTGGCCTTGAGGCGCATCTGCTCCGGATTGACGCCGGGACGTACAGCTGCGGTGGCAGTGGCAGTAGACCTGCCGATCACCGATGAATTTACAGAGCGCATGCTACTGTTCAGGACTGATCGGCTCGAGTTGAGCTCAGACGACACGGACGAGTCTGCTTGCACCTCATTAGCGTCAATCTCTACGCATTTTTGTGAATGGAGAAGCCGTACCGACAGCGGGCGTGTCGTTCCATCTCTTAGCCTTGGGTATGTGCACCGATACGCCGCTCTCGAGGGGTTTGACGTTGTACGCACCAACGCCAGGGATGTCCGACTCCTTCTCCTTAAATCTGCTGCTTTTCATAAACATCTTCGTTTATCGTTCGTTTATCTATCTATCACGGGATCTCTTTGCTCAAAGCCAACGAACGCACTTAAGCGTGGGCTTCAGCTGCAGCAGGACCGAGGATTTTTAATTGATTGAGGACTGGCGTTGTGCCGTCCGCGTTCCCCCTGGCGTTTTGGCGCGCCAGCCGTTGCCACCAAACGTTGGTGCC